AGACCACTTCCTGTTGCCTATGGGTTAAGATGTAAGAACCCTCAGCTCCCTCTCCAGCACCATGTCTGCCTGCATGCTGTCTTGCTTCCCACCACCACAATAATGAACTAAACTTCTGAACTATATGCAAGTCACCCCAATTAAATATTGTCCTTTATAGGAGTTGCTGTGGTCATGGTGTCTCTTCACAGTAACAGAAACCCTAAGACACCTGTTCTCACAGATCACAGTGCAGTTGTAAAAGTGACACAGGGGACACTGTCACTGCAGGCCAGGGAGACCTCACCTACAGCTTCCCACTGACCTTTCCAAGGAAAGAGGACAAAGGAGAGGACTAAGGCCATCCAGCCTAAGTAGGTCTACATGGACTTTACACCTAGGTCTTCTCCAGGTCCCCAGGACACAGGGAGGAAGAACCGGATTCCCACGAGGCAGGAAGTGACAATGTCTAACACTCCAAACCCAGCAAGGAAGCAAGCCCTACAGGAGAACTCCAGCTTGTTCATTTACAAAATGGCATTTACCAGCCTTCCTTGAGGGCTAGCTTGACTGTTCCATAGATACTGGCTATGAGACAGAAGACATGGGTGTATCTTCCAGAAAGATCCGTAAAGCTGTGAAATATCCACATCCCCCAGAGAAAGTGGTCTTTCCACTCTTTCCTGCTACAGTTAGGACTTGCGACACTGAAGCTCATGCGCCTTGAGGCAGAGCCATCAGGGGATAACCGAGGCTAGAAAAGCCCAAGAGCTTGGTGTCTCCGTGGTGGGATCAGTGACTTTATGGAATGTAAACCCCTGCCAGTGTGCCTGCTCCGGTGACCTCCATTACAGTTTGACAGAGCAGGAAGATCTCACCAGATGTTGACATGATACCAGTGTCACTTCTAAGGTTCTTGGCTTCCAGAAACATGAACCAAAATTAAAACAAACAAACCAAAACTTTTTCCTTTCTTTTTTTTTTTTGGGGGGGGGAGAGAGGGCATCTCATGAAGCCCAAGCTACCCTTGACCTTGCTAGGTAGCAGAAGATAACCTTGAACTCCTGATTCTCGGCTGTGCACCACCATAAGTAGATTTCAACTTCTACTCATTATAAATTACAGAAAACGCACTCAGACATCTGTCTTCTGTTTTCCTGGGAGACAGAGATAAGACAGCTGGAGATCCAGCGGCCACACCTAACCATAAGGTAACCTGACACGTCTGGTCCCAAAGCATCGAGATGAGGGATACTCAGTCTTCAGTGCAGTACAGGCGTTGCCAGCTGCTCACCTTCTGTGGTCACCTCCTGCAGAAAAGCCCTGCCACCAGGAAGCTCCTCCAGCCCAAGGTTTCTGAACTCAGCAGCTGAGACTTCACCCAGCCAAGGTTACTTTAGCTTCTCAGGCCATGTGATCCATACATTGTTCCTTAAAAAGCAATGCTCTCAAAGATCAATCTGAGCTCACCCCTAGGAGAGACAATGACAGTAATAACTGGAAGCTATTATACAAGAAGGAAAAGAAAGCTGAGCCCCAGCCTGGCTGTCTCCCTCCCCAAATGAGTCCCAGCCTCCTCAGTCTCACCCACGTTCTGCCAAAGCTGGAACACATTCCCCTCTTTAATGAAGAAACGAGGTGAACTCTGGCCAAGGACTGGTGGAGTGGACCACAGCACAAGCACACAGCAGCGAGCAGGCAGGACTGCCCCTAAGGTGGGCACATGAGGGGCACATGCCTGTGGTAGCTGTCCGCTAGCCGAAGAGGAGCAGCAAAGAACTAGAGAGGTCAAGGCAGGGGCGTGGCTCTGTGATGGAGCACTTGCCTAGAGTGTGTGTGAGGCCCTTATCATCAATCTGGGAGGATAGGCTAAGGAAATGCACACCCTCAACTGTGTGTGAACAGGATCATTCCGGAACAGAAAACTAAAGATAAATAAAGGGAAAGAAAACCTAAAGAGAGATGAAGATACTTCTCAGATGTAACAAGCCCTCGGAGGCTAGGCCCAGGGTTAGCCAAGGAAGCTGCATCCTCCCGTCTTTCCTCCATTGTCTCCCGGGGATGCAGAAGGAATACAGGAGCAGTGAGCAGATGCTTCAGGTTCAAACTTGTGTTCTGGACTGGGGCTGTGCAAGGGGACATCCCAGAGGACTGGTCTCTTCAGTCCCCGCCGGCAATCTATTCCTCCGGGCAGTCCTCCATCTCCAACACTGCTGTTGTCTGTCACCAGGCAATGAGCGCCTCTGTGTATGTGTGTCTATGTGCGTGCCTGTGTATGTGTATTTGTGTGTGTGTGCATGCATGTGTATGTGTGCGCGAGTGTGTGCGTGTGCGTGCGTGCGTGCGGGTGTGTCTGATCAACACAGAGATGACAAAAGAAGATAATGGAGGTGGGTAGATGGTCCGGCAGTAAAGACTGTTTGCTGCATACACAAACATGAGGTTGTAAGTTCAAATCTCTAGCACCCACAGTAAAAGCTAGGCATGGCGAAATACATCCAGCAACCCCAACATGGGGAGGGGTGAGGGATGGAGGGCAGAAAGATTGCTGGGACTTGCTGACTACCAGCCAAACCCAGGTTCAGTGAAAGACCCTGTCTCAAGAGAATAAGGCAGAGTGAAAGGACGGGACACCCCATGTCCCCCTCTGATCTCACCTCCACACACATGTGCATACACCATACAACACACAAAAGAGGATTCAACAAACATTTGTCTGCCCCCTAAGTGTCAGGTGCTAGGGGCAGAACAGTGGATGCCCTGTCCCCCTGGAGCTTTGGCTCTCAGGGGTTGAGATGCACATAATGACACCCAGGACCTAGCAAGAGGTGCACACACACACACACACACACACACACACACACACACACACACACACACACTGTGGAGGAGGGCAAGGCAAGGGGGAAAGGGAGTATGGGGACACGGAGGAGAGAAGAGACGAGCTATGGGGCTACTAGGACAAGGGACACTGTGACCCCACAGCCAATGGGGTTGGTGAGAAGGACAGCCGGGCAGGGAGGGATGAACTCTGTGACTATGTTAGCGTTTATCCAGTAGAGAGGCTCTCCTTGCAGAGGGCATGGGAGCAGACAGGGGCTGTGCGGCACAGGATAGGAGGTGTGACTAGGTGACAGGCATGGCCCTGACAGCCTTGGTATGAGAATGTACCAGAAAGGAAGGACCAAATTAACTACACACAACCACCTCTTCCTATTGGGGCCAGCAAGAGGTGAGAACAGGTTGGCCAGCCCTGGCACTCCCAGGATGTGGGGAAATAGGTCAGTCCCGGGTAAGCAGGGCAGTCGTCCCTGGAAGAGGTCCTTCACCACATGGGACAGGCCCAGCCAGCCTCCCACTCTGTTCCCTGTCTCCCCACATGGCTGCTAACTCCAAATCCATCCCTCATCTGCCCTAATCAAGACAGCTAGCCAGACGTGGGGGCCCACACATTTAGCCCCAGCATCAGGAAGGCAGGAGATCTGCAGCCTGGTCTACAAAGCAAGTTCCAGGCCAGCCAATGCTACATTGAGAGACCCTGTCTCAAACCCCACCACTACAAGCCCCCAAATACCAGACAGATGAACAGAGTTCTAAAGGTGAATGCCTCATTCTCCACACACAGCCCATTCCTGTAATTCCTCCCCATATGGGTACCTGGGTACTCCTGAAGGAGGCAAGCATGTCTTCAAATAACAGGAAGTAACCCCAACTGAGGAGCAGTAGACAGGGAGAAGCAAACAAGCCAGAAGGTCTGTGCCCTAGCCAGACTCGGCTTTGCCAGTTACCTCTGAATTGGTGGCTTGTACCACACCACCCTACTGTACTCACACCTGGCCGGTCATCACTGCCCTCCACAGAGCAAAGGGAGCCAGCATCACTGGTCACTCATGAAGATGCACTGCTCAGATCCACACTTGTTCATGAACACTCCAGATGAGACAGACTAAAAGACCTCTCCCACTGGAAATCTCCTCAGCCACTGACTAGAGGAATGGCAGGTCTGTCAACCAAGTGTCTGCCTCTGCTCCATTCGTGCTCACTGTAAAACAGCCCAAAGCAACACACACAGAGTGAGGCACCACTCCCAACCAAGGAGAGAATTAGCCTAAGTGCTACAGCACACTGGCAGCATCCTTCTTCTAGGCCCTGGGCCAATGGCGGGCCAATGGCGTGCCAAGCAAGGAAGCCAGGACCCCGAGGCCAGGACAGAACAGATCACAAGGCAAGGGACAGGGAAGTGGTTGCTACTTTGCTACACTGGTTGCTACAGTGGTTCCCACAGGGCCAGGGAGGCCAGTGGCCTTCATAACAGCATGGCCAGAGCCTAACCAAGAGGATGTGGTCCTGGAACATGGAACCCAGCAGGTATGAGCAGTTGCTAGAATGAAGGTGGACCAGATTAGAACCGAGGCAGGGGGAAGGCACGGTTTTTGGGGGGAGTATCATCAACCAGGCATGGTGGTGGCACACGCCTTCAATCCCAGCACTTGGGAGGCAGAGGCAGGTGGATCTCTGAGTTTGGGATCAGCCTGGTCTACACAGTGAGTCTAGTACAGCCAGGGCTATGTAGAGAGACCTTGTTCCCCAAAAAAGGGAGGGGGAAGGAACCACCTAACAAACTCTGAGCACCTATTATGGCAGATGTAGCTTTAGGGTACTGGGAACAAGCCATTTCCAAAGCCATTCTGAAAGAACCAGGAGTGGATTAGCCGGCACAGGGCACCCTACACAACTGCACTCACTACCTGCCGCCTGCTTGGGGAACGGAAAGGCACACACAGTTCTCTAGCCAATGTCGTGCGTTATCCATGGCATTCCCAAGAGCAACAGGTTCAGAGAAGACTCCGCTGGGGACACCAGCACACGGGAAGGCAGCTGACATGTTAGTGATGTCATCTGGCTCACCTATATCTCATACACACAAACACAGGAGGCTCCAGCAGCCTTTACCTCCCCAAGCAATACGGCTGGCAGGATGACTGCTACTATGAGCTGGGCCTATTTTACCCATTCCTTACCCTGCCATGGTGTTAGCCTTCTTTCGCTGCGACAGAAGACTTGAGAAAGTCAACCTAAAGGAAAGAAACACTTCTTTAACTCACAGTTTCCAAGGTTTGTTTACAATCACTTGGCCCCATCACTCTGGGCCTGTGACGCTTCAGGACATCGCGGTTTGAGTGTGAGGTAGATGAAATGAAACTGTTTATCTCATGGCAGACAGAAAGCAAAGGGAACCAACATTCCCCCAGTGACCTAATTTCCAACTACTAGTATTGACACCTGCCTCCAGGTTAGACCATCTTCCAATAGTGCCTCAAGCCAGTAATAAAGCCTTTTAACATTGGGGGGGAGGAGGGGGAGCCTTGGGGCAACACTCAAAATCCAAACTGTAACACATGGCCAGGCACTGCCCTCCTTCTGTGGGAACCCAAAAAGATGAGGACAACAAGCAGACCTCAGATACCCCCAAGGCACTCAGGTAAAACTATCCACTCATTACCTGAGCCTGGCCACCCACCTCTGTAGTGCAGTGCAGGCTACTGTCATCTCAGGGTTGGTGCCTGGGGAAAGCCGGGCTTCACTGACAGACCGAAAAACCATCTCCATGCCACTCACCTAAACCCAGACACAAGTAAAACACCTTTTGAGGCAGGGTGTACTTGACTTCAGATGAGAGCCTCTTAAACTAACCAGGCAAACAACTCAGGCTCACATAGGCACAAGGTTCCTAGAGACATATTTTAAGGGCATGCTCCCCACTCTACTGTATTTATAATACACAATTAAAATCCTGAAACTCTTACACACTTCTGGCCAAGGTAAGTGAGCCACCCCTTTAATCCCAGGCCACCAAAATAGAGTAAGCGAAGTGGGCATCACTCCTGGGGCTGGATTCTGTGTCTCACAAGAACAAAGCTGGGGACAGTACTAACCTCAGCCTCTCCTCCTCAGCTCAGGCAGGAAATCCCGGAATGGCAAAGCCGGGAAAGGCAGCTTGCAGTATGGGGCTGTCACTCTGTCCCTCAAGACCACCCTCCCATCACATCCTTCTCATGGCATTTCTGTCTCCATCACACTCTGTGTAGGCACAAACCCTCAAGCCCAATCCTGCAGTCATTTCTAACAGCTGCCAGACTGAAGACATCACTACACAGGACACCACGGCTAGCACCAGGCTACCACATGGCAGTCTGCCCCAGTAACTAACGTATGTGTCTGGGTTACCTACATGCTTGGGTTTTGTCCACAATGTCTCCCACCATGACTGCGTGGGAGAAGATGTCAACTGGATCAGCTCACCGAAACTCTGACCCTCTGTGAGATAACACCTCCTGAACCTGTGCCAGCTGTTACCCATCACTACCAGTTACAGGACACACGACGACGACGATTGGACAACAGGCTGTGTGAGTGGGAACACACTTCACAGATAAGCTATTCCTTTGCAGAACTGCAGCCATTGGGCAGCAGCTGGTTTCTAGTCAGAGCCAGTCCTAAGACAGTAACTCTCACTTCATCTACAAAGGACAAGGTTCGATGACTTGAGTTAAAAAAAAAAAAAAGAATCGCTCTACATGGATGAATTCCAGACTCAGAGGCCTTGGAAAGAGCAGCCACAGGCTCTGGCTTTGGCTGAGGAGCCTGAGGACAAACTACACTGATAGAGCTGAAGGTGGCCAGCCTGTTTCCGGCTAAGACAGAGTCAACAGCCTAGAGGAATCCTGCCATAGCCAGCCAGCAGAAGGGAAGGCTCAGTGTGGGTGTGCAGTCCCCCAGCAAACCCAGCAGCTGACCTGTCCCCACATCCTGGGGACCCCAGGGCTCCCGCTGATGGAGAGAGATGATGTGATTGTCAGACTCTACTTTTTGAGACAGATCTCCTCAGAGAGCCCACGTGGGCCCCAAATGCCTAACTTCAGACTCTTGGACGTGGAGGTTATAAGTCAGGTCCACCACACCTGGCTTAGGTATGACATTAAGGATTTCAATAATACCTGTTTTTTGGTCTGTTTTTTAAGACTAGGTCTCACTGTGTAACCATGGTTGGCATGGAACTCACTATATAGACCAGGCTGGCCAAGAATTTACAGAGACCTTCCTGCCTCTGCCTCAAAAAGAACTGGAACTAAAGGCATGCAACACCATGCTCAGAAATACCTGAATATTTTTTTTTTTTAAGATTCTGGAATTAGCACAATGTGATTGCAATTCCAACACTGGAAGTGCTCTAGGCAAGTCACTTCTACCATGACTCTAGACAGTTTCCTACCACACATCTGGGTGTCCCATGCTTTGGTGACCTGTCCCTAAATATGAGGATGGTGAAGATTATGAAGGTACCAGTGGTACCGGCAATAGCAGGTGTCAAGTCAGATACGGTAGCACATTGGTACAGTCCCAGGTTCCAATCCCAGCCTCGGGAGGTGAAGACAGAAGGACCAGGAGTTCAGGGTCATCTTCAGCTATGAAGCAAGTTTGGGGCCAGCATGGGTTACATGAGACCCTGTCTAAACAAAATGACGCTTTTAGAAAGCATCTACCATTTAGTAGTCACATATCACAAGTGATGGCCACAAAGAAGTGTGTGTGTGGCCCTGTCCATCCGGAGCTTATACTGCCAGAAAAGAAAAGGAGACACAGAGAGATCCAGCAACTTGCCCAAAGTCACAATGGGATGAACCAGCTGGAATCTGACCCTGAGCAGTCTACGACCAATACACTAAACAGCCTTCTGAAATTATGTCTACTATCTTAATCCAGAAACCACATAATGAGCAGTTAGAGTTGTCTACAAATTACAGATGAGAAGGAAGTAGGCAAGATGATTTTGTCCAGCAAGCTGTCTGACCCCTGCAGTCTGCACTTTCTCAATCTGTGGCACACTTGGGGAGGTTCAATCAGCCAGTACGGGGCTCCTGTGCAGAGGAGGTGACACCGTCTTTCCAAGGAGGACAGGGTGGAGGGTGAACCAGATGTCACGAGCCTGCTCCCTGCAGCCTGTCTCTCCCATGCAGGAGGCTCGTCCCCACACCAACACCTCAAAGATCTGTCTGCCATGATGCTCTAACTCCGATTCTCAGTGTTTCCCACCTTCCCTAAGAGGCCCTGTTCCCCGTTAGTAGACTAGGGAGTAGATTAGCTCAGGGAAGTATGAAGGTTAGGAGATACTTGTAAAAGCTAGGAAAGAAAGAACAATGAGTCGAGACGGGAAAAATCCCCCAGTGGAATGAGGAAGTAGGGCCTGAGGCATAGCCCAGCTCTGTGACTACTAGACACTGTCACACACAACACTCCAGGGGACTGTCCTCCTCTAAGAAAAGGTCACACTGCAGGGTTCACAACCCACTGAGTAAGGAACACAGGCATCACCGTGACGGAATCCAGCCTTTTTTGGCAGAAGAACTTCCTCTGCCATCAGCAATTTCTTATCTTTCTGGGACAGACTGCTATTCTTTGCAGCCGGCTGCTGGGAGGAATATGCCCAACAGTCAAGACCTACTACGGATTCAACATCTCCCCATGAGCTCCTAGTGTGCTATTCACAACAACATCTCCACACACTGTGAGGAGAGCAGGACACCGTTCACACAAGCTGTAACATGTGATGGCCCTGGTCTGTAGACCCTGAGGCCACTCCCCTGCATACACACAAGCATGCTAACCACCTATAGCATGAGGAGCCTGGGACAGACAGAACCTTCTTGACAACAGTTCCAGACAGACATACAGAGAGCCAGTGAGATGGATCAGGGGGAAAGGCGCTTGCTGCCAAGCATGACAACTTGAGTTTGACCCCCAAGGCCTACAGTGTAGAATACCCCCAAACAGATACACACACACACACACACACACACACACACACACACACACACAGATATATAGAGATGCTAGACAACATGCTTCCATCAGTTAGAATCACTTCATAATCTTAACTAAAACATAAAAAGGATTTAAATGCTTGTAAAAATTAGCAAAATGGGCTGAGGATTTGGCTCAGTGGCTAAGCACTCGCCCAGCATAGGCCAGGCCCTGAATTCCAGCCCAGTATCATAGTAAACAAGTAAATCAAAGTTTCACAGGAGGAAGTTAGAGAGGACTCTGAAGGTCGGTTCAGCAGAGGGAAAGAAAGAAAGAGGAAAAGAAAGAAAGCAGAGAATCAAAGTAAGCAAAGAGAAACAGGGTAGCAAGCACAGAACCTGAGGTTCTCTGTGAGGGAAGAGAGAAGACGCGACCGTGGTAACCCTAGCCTGAAGTTTGCACCTGTGAGTGACAGAAAGAACAGAGTTCTCGGGGGCGAGTGGTCGGGAAGCCAGGAGACACTGGAGAATTGTGGAGGCTCCCGACTGGTCCCTACTGGGGTCAGACAAAACTACCAGTCTTTGCAGTGAGATAGATGAAGGTGGGGTTCGATCTGTGGTAGGACATCTTCATAGCAGATGCCAGGCCTGCGTGCCATCCCCCACACCACAAGAACGGCCAACGGCATAAGAGATATTAGCACTGGAACCTGATACTTCACAGGAAGTGAAAATTAAAACCTAAGAGCAGGGCCGGGCCTTGGTGGTGCACGCCTTTAATGCCAGCACTTGGGAGGCAGAGGCAGGCGGATCTCTATGAGTTCAAGGCCAGCCTAGTCTACAGAATGAGTTCCAGGACAGTCTCCAAAACAATACTAAGAAACCCTGTCTCAAAACAAACAAACAAACAAACAAACAAACAAAAAACTTAATAGCAAATACGATGATCTGTCACTGTAAGAAAATGGACACAGTTCCAACCACAGAGACTTCCTTCTTGAACCCTCAAAAAGAGCTTAAGCCAGTGGGAGCTGGGGAGCAGGGAAGACAGGGTGACTCCACAGCTGGTTAAGGGCTCACTGGAAAAATGGATGGAGAAAGGGGCTTAGTGTACGTGCATGAAACCATCCACACCTGGCTCCTGGTCAATGATGTGAGGAGGGAACTACTAAAGAAAAACTCATTAGCTCCTGCCCAGGCTAAGAAAAGTGGATGTGGATAGCTCTGAGATTGTAGGGGTATACAGGAGGCCTCAGAAGTGGAGGTCCCAGACA